GTGTATAGTAGCCAGGTATAGTTCTACCTGCAGGAGGAACCCCTGACACCCGGCTGCAGAACCGTCATATGCCCTCGGGAGCGAGAGCCGAATACCACTGGGTTCCGGCGCTGAGAGAGGAGGACTGACCGGTGGTGATGGGATGGTGTATGAGGACGTGGGCACCTCTCCATTAGCCAACCGGTGCAGAGTGTTGGACACCTCGCCCAGAACGGCCTCCAGTTGCCGGATCATGGAGTCCTGATGACTGAGCCGTTCTTCTAGCGACCTGGGTGCCGTCGCTGATCCTGCTGACTCCATAGATGGTGTGTTGTTCTGTCAGTTTGGAACCGATGTGGATGTGATGAGGAGTCAGGCGCAGGACACAGAGGTTTAGTCCAACAAACTTTACTTGCACAAAGTGGAAAAATAACCAAGAATACTACCTCAAAACAGAGGCGAGAGAAATACGCAACATGCGTAAAACGAAACAAGACATGTAGAGCGCAAAACACGTAGCTCCAAACGACACGCGGACAACAACACACAATCTAACTAACACAAAACACGGAACTTATAGGACACGTAATTAGGACACAAACTGACACAGGTGTGCCAGACAGACCAAAGCAATCAACACACGAAACATACAACGGTGGCAGCTAGTATTCCGGGGACGTCGAACGCCGAAGCCTGCCCGAACCAGGAGGAGGAGCAGCCTCGGCCGAAACCGTGACAATCATGCTCTTTAGTGAATCTACAGTGGAAGTACTACTAATAAATGTATAACCAACATGCTCCAAAGCTTTGCCTTCAGCTTGTCGTATCCATCCAGGACAATAAGAGGATATAGAAAACCCAGAGAATGTGCAGGTGATGCTGAAAGACTCTCTTGGTTTTATAACCACTGGACCAGACTGGATGAGTTCAATACCACAGTAGACACCTGGAAGGGAAACACACATCAATACACATCATTGTCAGTTTTCATCAGAAATTAGAAATGATCATTTCAGAGTTGTAATAAATGTCAATTTGTATGAACAGAGAAACGCACATGATACATCTGCCAGCAGCAGCAGCAGCAGTAGAGATGCAGGGAACATGGTTTGTGTTGAAGCTGAACTAGTATGAGCAGCTCTTATCTACTCTCCAGTACTCAGAGGGCCTCTAAGGACAGACAGACACTGTTGAAGTAGGGCAAGAACCAGAGGGAGGGTTTGCATTGACATGGAGAGATGGTGGGAGATACAGTATATGAGTGGGAATATAAGAGACACTTCAGGACCATCACCACTATTACTGGATACAACCTTTACAATGTGAAAACTCAGAGACTCTCTTTAGATTTTGTTTGTGATTGTACCACGTGAAACTAAATCATTTAGTTAATCCACGTGTTCATAAGACTCTTTGTCATACATACATCGGCAACAAAAAGTAGATAAGGATACATTCATGATTTTATTCTAAAAGAAAACTTCTAGAAGAATGATTCTTATGAACTGAAATATCACATGATAATATGAACATTGCAGATCCTCCATCAATTAACTGAAGTATTGAGACATCAGTTAAATGAGGATAATGGGATATCTCTTGGTGTATCAACAACACTATAACAATGTACAGTAATGCCTATCCATTAAAGTGCTCCTCCTGCAGGTTGACGTATCCAGGCGATGTTGTAGCTACTAAAGGTAAATCCAGATCCCTTACAGGAGAGGTTGAGAGGTTCTGCAGGCTTTTTCAGGACTAGACTGGAGGGAATGTCCTCCAGACTCTGACCATACACCCCTAATAGAGAAAAGAGAATGAAGACAATAGATCACTAATATGTTAACTCAATGGATATTATCATTATCTCTATACATAAAATACTTTGTTCCAATTGATTGCTAGATTGTTGAGTACATACTACAGAGGCCATCAAGACCAGGAGGAGGTGTAGTTTGCCTGTCATCTTTTCAGGATGGAAGACAATTCATTCGATTTAGGTATAGTTTTGAATCCGGCCAGCTGCCCTTTGACACAACCTCTCTCTATCTGTTCAATGGTCAGAAAATACCTTAAAAAGGTTTCTATTTTGTATTGAACACGTAAAACAAGATAACAAAAAACATTACAATTCACATCCTGATGTACTGTACCCTGAAATGTGTTCCTGTTGTTTCAACGTCACATGGTCAGCAACTGTCACCAAACGACTTGCCTTAGATGGCTACCCACTGGGCACACTACGTCGTTTCAACGTGGATAATTGGGTAATATTTGTTTGAGACTTTGATCAATGAGATTACAACCCACTCAAAAAGACAGCCAAAAGTTAGTTACATTTCCAATGTGTAATCACTATGCTTTCAACCATCTAAAAGCACAACTGAATTCCAATGGAAAAACAATGTCAGATTTTTGGTTTGGTTGTCACACAAAATGGATATCACTGCGCTTTCAGCCATTTATAAGCACAGCAAAGTTCAAATGGTGCAGGATGTTCAAACAATGTCAGATATTTTGTTTATTTACACAACAGATTAATATTGATATCTGTGCTTCATCTAATATCAGAACCAAATGGCCTGGATTTTAGTTGAGATTACATTAAAAGTACATGGTGCAGGTGATCAATGCTGTTGGAGATTTTGCACAGGTTATTACAGCAATTTTTAAGATCTCCACAGACCTGCAAATGATTTATGCACGATACAGTATCTTGAACATGCACGGATTATATGATTACATAAGAATAAATGTATAGTTACAGTAACCTCAAATGTGTCCATATTTTATTCTATCTCTTATCAACAATACAAAACATGCACATACAAATGATGACATCATACAAACATCCACTACATCACACCTGCCCAGACCCACTAGTCCTCACCATTATCTCCAGGGCCCGTATCACTTTGTGCCACATGGCCTCAAACTGCATGATTTTGTTTCTCTCCGTCGCCCACGCAATTTCAATTTTTAGATAGTAAAGCATTTGAACTTTCCATTGCGTGAACGACTGACGATTGGTTGATTTCCAGTTTGTAAGTATACGTTTTTTTTTTTAAAGATGATTTATGAGAAAAGTATTGTCCAACCCATCGGGTATCTCACTGCACCCTCATATGCCATGTCTTGAAATATGCAGAGAGACAAATTAAATTTACATTGTAATACTTCTGAGAGCCATCTTTCCAACTCTGCCCATAACCTTTGGATGTTATAGCATTCCTAGAAGGCATGAATTATTGAGTCATTAGTAGTTTTACACTTCAGACATGACTCTGCCCTTGTGCTGTAGAATTTGTGCATTTTGTCTATTGTATAATACATTCTATACATTCATTTATACTGGATTAAGTGCAAATTTGCGTAATCTTGTTAGTTATGTTCCAGCATTCCCTCCATCTTGTGCCAATATCAGTTATTTTTAAATCTTGGTTCAAATGATTGATTTTTTGTTCTAAGAGATTGTCAGTTGGACAGCCTCTCTGCAACGTTTTGATTAGCTTACCTATCATATGAAAGTATGGTCACATTTAATTTGCTCTGTTAAACATACCCTTTGCAATGACTTCGATAGCAACAGAGAATCAATTTAGTTTTTAAATGTGTTACTGCACTTTTACAATGATATATTGGTCATTTTTAGGGTTAATCAAGATACTAAATAAGGGAAATGTCTTTATCAGAGTGCACGTGCATCCTGGGGTAGAAGTCATGCTTGGGTAGCTTTGAACTACTGCGCCCAACACTCATTTTGATAGACATGCCTGATAAAAACACATTCTTAAACTCTCTCCCCTATAAACAATTATAATCAAGACATACTAAAGTAGTTAGGGGGAGGTGCCCAGGACAGCTATGAGAAACCACATAGAGCAATTTGTTATTTTAGATAAGGAATCATTGTTTAATGCAATTCTTGAAAAGTGTGTTATATTTATTACAAACACAAAACATGAATATGGTCTGTCAATAAAATTGTGTGTGATAAGTACACCTGTTCACAAGGTCTATAATATCAATGAAATAGTGATTAAATTGTCTGATTCTTTGATCCATCTCACCATTTAATCAAATAAAATTCAAATCGTGTTCAAGTGGTTGAACCATTGTATTGATACCAGCCACCAGTTGGCTATTCAAAAAAAGCTTTTTATCCTCAGCAGAAACAAGTGAGAATTAGTTCATGAAAGTGTATAGGGACAGTCTCTGCAGTCCCTGGGCTACTTAACTGCTTTAACCGTCTGTCTATCTGAATCATCAGAGATGCTAAACTGGGACCCTGGATCGCTCAGGTGACAGACTGGAGTTCACCAAGCGTGGTGCCACACAGCTGTGAGGGTCACAGAGGGGAAGAGAGAGGGGTGGGGTGTGTGAGAGAAACAGACACAACTGATAAAAGGAGAGCAGGGCCTGTGTGGAACAGAATGGATTATCAAACATAAACCCTTAGACTATGGAATGGATGCATTAATAGTTACTTCTCATTCAGTTTGACCAAAATGAAGGAATATATGGTGTTTCTGTGACTTAAAGCATAATAATTATGACAAAAGTAACTATAAATATGTTTATTCTATACTCTAAGTATATACGATTAAATAGTCAGTTTATATTGATATTTTCAATCAATTTGGTCAGAATATGTGACTATTTGGTACTTGTACATTTTACCTCTTAAAAATTACATTAAAACTTTACAAAAAAACAAACATGTAGCCTCTGGGGAGACCAGTTCGATTTATATTCAACATGACGATAATCTGAATACCCTCTGCGTGGGATGACAGTCGATGTCTGAAACTCAACAGGCGCTTCAACAGGCGCTTCAACAGGCGCTTCAACAGGCGCTTCAACAGGGCGCTTCAACAGGCGCTTCAACAGGCGCTTCAACAGGGCGTCAAAGCAGTAAAGACACACAGAGATAAAATAATGCATTCTTCTTAAAAGAAAAAAAGGCAAACCTCACAAACATATCTTTACACTTCAAAGCCAGGCTGTGAAAACCTGTGAGGTGGTTATATCCTCCCTCTCACCTTGACCAGAGTGACTGTGATGCTGTAGAGGAGGGAGATGAGGAAGTGGACCAGGAAGATGGAGGCCATGTTCCAGTTCTCCTCTGCAGTGTCCGCCAGGATGGGATCAGACCTGTTCTCGTCAAAGAACACACCCTCCACCTCAAGGAGCTCTACTCAAAATGAAAGAGCAGATTTTCAGTGAGAAAGAGTTGCAGAAACAGGCTAGCCTGGAATCCAAACTGAAATGCTCTATTACAATGGTGAAACAGAGCATATACGGTTAGAAAGAGGCTAGCACCAGGCAAATGTTATTGTATCAGAAGTGAGTGAACAGACAGACAGACACCTGGTTTGGATATGTTCAGGGCCAGAGTCTGGGTGGTGTGGGTCACCCTGCAGGTGTAAACAGCCCCCGGTGCCCAGTCCTGGGTCGCCAGGCTCAGGTGGCTCCTGATGATGAACTTTCCCCCTGGTGCCCTGTAGGGGGTGCTAGTGTCGTGGTTCCACAGCTCTGTGATGTCGTCCAGCAGCCAGGTGATGTTGATGTGTGAAGGGCTGAAGCCAAACACCAGGCAGATGAGCTCACTGGGACCCTGGAGCAGGGTGGCTGTTGGTGCGGAGTGGGTCACTGAGTCAATGTACCCTAAATGCTATTCATTTTTGGGGCATTGTTTGCGTCTTACTGAATTGTATCATTCATAGACTCTCTCTGCAGTCTGCAGCCATAAACTATTATGTTGTAGCTACAGTATATCTACTTTTCGAAACCCTTGTCGACTGCAAATCCAGAATCCGCTCCTTGGCAGCTATCAACGCAGATTATTATTGGTGGTGGTGTTGTATCAGTGTCACTATGGTTTGCATTTGCAATGGTTCTTTCCTGTCTAGACTTTACATTCAGTCCCGCACGGCGCTCGACCGCATGTGAGTTTGGTACCAAAACTTTGGAACCTTGGAGTTGAGAACTTGCTGAGAAGAAAGGATTTATCGGCATGTCCTTTTAACTACTCAAATCAAATAGCATAAATATTTCCATGTATTGTTTTGCTTGTTAGAAAAATGAGCAAATTAAAGCACTAGCTAGCATAACAATATAGCTGGGCTAGCTGGGTTAGTTAGCTAGCTATACAGTGGGGGAAAAAAGTAATTAGTCAGCCACCAATTGTGCAAGTTCTCCCACTTAAAAAGATGAGAGAGGCCTGTAATTTTCATCATAGGTACACGTCAACTATGACAGACAAAATGAGAAAAAAATTCCAGAAAATCACATTGTAGGATTTTTAATGAATTTATTTGCAAATTATGGTGGAAAATAAGTATTTGGTCAATAACAAAAGTTTCTCAATACTTTGTTATATACCCTTTGTTGGCAATGACACAGGTCAAACGTTTTCTGTAAGTCTTCACAAAGTTTTCACACACTGTTGCTGGTATTTTGGCCCATTGCTCCATGCAGATCTCCTCTAGAGCAGTGATGTTTTGGGGCTGTCGCTGGGCAACACGGACTTTCAACTCCCTCCAAAGATTTTCTATGGGGTTGAGATCTGGAGACTGGCTATGCCACTCCAGGACCTTGAAATGCTTCTTACGAAGCCACTCCTTCGTTGTCTTTGGGATCATTGTCATGCTGAAAGACCCAGCCACGTTTCATCTTCAATGCCCTTGCTGATGGAAGGAGGTTTTCACTCAAAATCTCACGATACATGGCCCCATTCATTCTTTCCTTTACACGGATCAGTCGTCCTGGTCCCTTTGCAGAAAAACAGCCCCAAAGCATGATGTTTCCACCCCCATGCTTCACAGTAGGTATGGTGTTCTTTGGATGCAACTCAGCATTCTTTGTCCTCCAAACACGACGAGTTGAGTTTTTACCAAAAAGTTATATTTTGGTTTCATCTGACCATATGACATTCTCCCAATCCTCTTCTGGATCATCCAAATGCACTCTAGCAAACTTCAGACGGGCCTGGACATGTACTGGCTTAAGCAGGGGGACACGTCTGGCACTGCAGGATTTGAGTCCCTGGCGGCGTAGTGTGTTACTGATGGTAGGCTTTGTTACTTTGGTCCCAGCTCTCTGCAGGTCATTCACTAGGTCCCCCCGTGTGGTTCTGGGATTTTTGCTCACCGTTCTTGTGATCATTTTGACCCCACGGGGTGAGATCTTGTGTGGAGCCCCAGATCGAGGGAAATTATCAGTGGTCTTGTATGTCTTCCATTTCCTAATAATTGCTCCCACAGTTGATTTCTTCAAACCAAGCTGCTTACCTATTGCAGATTCAGTCTTCCCAGCCTGGTGCAGGTCTACAATTTTGTTTCTGGTGTCCTTTGACAGATCTTTGGTCTTGGCCATAGTGGAGTTTGGAGTGTGACTGTTTGAGGTTGTGGACAGGTGTCTTTTATACTGATAACAAGTTCAAACAGGTGCCATTAATACAGGTAACGAGTGGAGGACAGAGGAGCCTCTTAAAGAAGAAGTTACAGGTCTGTGAGAGCCAGAAATCTTGCTTGTTTGTAGGTGACCAAATACTTATTTTCCACCATAATTTGCAAATAAATTCATTAAAAATCCTACAATGTGATTTTCTGGATTTTTTTTCCTCAATTTGTCTGTCATAGTTGACGTGTACCTATGATGAAAATGACAGGCCTCTCTCATCTTTTTAAGTGGGAGAACTTGCACAATTGGTGGCTGACTAAATACTTTTTTTCCCCACTGTAGCTAAACATAACCAGTGCGCTAATACGATTTTGGTAATCAAATTTGACTAATTTAGCAATATATTGTATGAATGTTATTCTGTGGTGTTTATACATTTTTTACTATTGGAAATAGTCTGAGGTTAATTCTAAATGCAACTCAAGATTGGTCTGCTGACCTAGGCTACATTTCTGTCATGATGACAATATTATTGACACAGTGAAGGGTTTGTGGGATTGAATAGCCTATCTGTAGACCTACTGTAGGTCAAAGAAGATAGAGACTGGGAGACACACAAACCGCAAATCTCTGTTGTTTTTCTCATCCAAACTCTCCAAGTCATCAGACAACATTATCAAACATCAACCAACATTATTGCTATTCATCAGTACATGTTATTACAATCAAATTCATGGCACTGTTCAAATCAACAGTCCACTCACCAAATACATTGTCTATTGTGCTGGTGATAGGTCTCTCGGACGACTCGTGTCTGACAGCACAGGAGTAATTGGAGTCCTGATTCCACTCGGACCTGGGCACAATGAGTCTACTGTTCATGGAGTATGTGCTTCTCCCTGCATAAAGGACTGAAGGACTTGTGGAGTAGTGACATAAAGGTAGGCGACTGCCAGCCTTCTCCCAATTCACTATTACATCAGAGGGGAAGAACCCAGACACTAAGCAAAGCAGTGTGGCATTATTTGACCCCCATAGATCAGAATCTGATGGTCTCGCTATCTTTATAGAGGGTGGCTTGGGATCTGGAGGGACAAAACAAATGAAAATATAACTGATTAGTTAGTTGATTTTGGGCCTATTCAATAAAATGTAACATAAATATATTGTTTAGTAATATGTCAGATAAGCACTGATGCAATAGCATGCACAAAGATGTATGTATGTATCAACATCAGCATTCTGGGTTATGTGTGCCAATTGAGTGTTGAATTAGCCTACCTCTGCATTTGGTGATATGCTCCTCCTGGGCTTGGCTGGAGCAGCGGTGCTTCACCTCACACAACACACGTTTGTGTGCATGCCAGTCCCTCGCAGACACGTTAAACATGATCTGCACAGTCTGTATCCCATTGGAATGGTCCTTGGGGGCCCATCTGACCCCACCTTGGGAAGCCACAACCCCATCCACCTTCCAGCTAACAGAAAAGTCCTCAAGGCTGGGACCCACCAGCAGGCAGGTGACAGGCACCTGTCCATCTGTACTCAACTCCTGAAGAGTGGGTCCCTGTAGGTAAACCCCAACTTTTTGAAATGATATTGGAGTCACTGAGAGGAAAGGGAATTGAGTGTTTTAAGCTACGTTCAGATATTGCGCTAAAGAATGCCTACATTACTGAATGATGGTTAGGCTATAGGCCTATATCACTGCTCAAGGATAGTATATGTCATAATACCAAAAACTACCTGCACATCTATTGATGCTCTTCTTGACTTTCTGAAGATCCTCTTTCTGAAGATACTAGTCGATGACCTCACAGGGTCCCCTGGTTCCACTCCTGCTGTGTTACTGTGATATGACTGGTTACTGCCACACATTCGTCTTCCCCCATCCTAATCTCATAGGCTGCTGCAGACCTCTGTTCAAACCAAGAAAGCCACTTGATCTGAGGGTTGAAGCCCCACCCAGAACATATGAGTTTCTGGGTCCCTGAGCCTGACGTCTCCTCACTGGGAGCTAGAAGGAGCTCCATGGACGGTTCACCTGGAAACAACACAAACACTTTTCCATTTTAGACCTACGGAGTGCTAAATTAAGACTATGCAACAAACAATGGAAACTTAATTTCATGTTGGTAGGCCTAATTACATTAAAAATTGAGATGGTATCATAAGGTATTGACGAGAGAAGTTCACCCACCAAAAAGCTTTCCTGTGGAGTTAGACACCCAGCTGTTGGAGAAGCCTTGGTTTACTTTATAGGTGAAAGTGCTGTGTGTTTTCCAGTGTGATGTGAGGACAGAGAAGCGTCTGGTGAGTGAATGGTGGTCTTTGGAGGCAGGCAGATCGACATACTGTTTCTCAGGGAAATCAACCCCATTGGCCTGAAAGGTGACGTAGAGGTCACTGGAGGAGAGTTGTGTGATGGCACACTCCAGCACAGCACTGTCTCCATTCAGTAAGTCTGGGAGAGACCTCCTGATCAGCACTGTGGGAGTGCTGCTCACTGCAGGTCCTGGAGAAAACACCCACAGAGTAGAGAGATCAACAGGAGAAAGGAACATTGATAATAATAATAATATGCCATTTAGCAGACGCTTTTATCCAAAGCGACTTACAGTCATGCGTGCATACATTTTTGTGTATGGGTGGTCCCGGGGATCGAACCCACTACCTTGGCGTTACAAGCGCCGTGCTCTACCAGCTGAGCTACAGAGGACCACTGGCTTCAGTGTCAATAAGGTCTACTTTTTATGTGGTAGGATTGTAAGAAGACTGAATGTTTTGCTATACTTCTCTCTGTATACACTACCGTTCAAAAGTTTGGGGTCACTTAGAAATGTCCTTGGTTTCGAAAGAAAAGCATTTTTTTTGTCCATTAAAATAACATCAAATTGATCAGAAATGAAGTGTAGACATTGTTAATGTTGTAAATGGCCATTGTACCTGGAAACGGCAGATTTTTTATGGAATATCTACATAGGCGTACAGAGGCCCATTATCAGCAACCATCAGTCCTGTGTTCCAATGGCATGTTGTGTTTGCTAATCCAAGTTTATCATTTTAAAGGGCTAATTGATCATTAGAAACCCCTTTTGCAATTATGTTAACACAGCTGAAAACTGTTGTGCTGAGTAAAAAAGCAATAAAACTGGCCTTCTTGAGACTAGTTGAGTATCTGGAGCATCAGCAATTGTGGGTTCGATTACAGGCTCAAAATGGCCAGAAACAAAGAACTTCCTTCTGAAACTCGTCAGTCTATTCTTGTTCTGAGAAATGAAGGCTATTCCATGGGAGAAATGGCCAAGAAACTGAAGATCTCGTACAACGCTGTGTACTACTCCCTTCACAGAAAAGCGCAAACTGGCTCTAACCAGAATAGAAAGAGGAGTGGGAGGCCCCGGTGCACAACTGAGCAAGAGGACAAATACATTAGAGTGTCTAGTTTGAGAAACAGACGCCTCACAGGTCCTCTGCTGGCAGCTTCATTAAATAGTACCCGCAAAACACCAGTCTCAACGTCAACAGTGAAGAGGCGACTCCGAGAAGCTGACCTTCTAGGCAGAGTTGCAAAGAAAAAGCCATTTCTCAGACTGGCCAATAAAAATAAAAGATTAAGATGGTCAAAAGAACACAGACACTGGACAGAGGAAGATTGGAAAAAAGTGTTATGAACACACAAATCGAAGTTTGAGGTGTTCGGATCACAAAGAAGAACATTTGTGAGACGCAGACCAAATGAAAAGATGCTGGAGGAGTGCTTGATGCCATCTGTCAAGCACGGTGGAGGCAATGTGATGGTCTGGGGGTGCTTTGGTGGTGGTAAAGTGGGAGATTTGTACAGGGTTAAAGGGATCTTGAAGAAGGAAGGCTATCACTCCATTTTGCCATGCCATGCCATACCCTGTGGACGGCGCTTGATTGGAGCCAATTTCCTCCTACAACAGGACAATGACCCAAAGCACAGCTCCAAACTATACAATAACTATTTAGGGAAGAAGCAGTCAGCTGGTATTCTGTCTATAATGGAGTGGCCAGCACAGTCACCGGATCTCAACCCTATTGAGCTGTTGTGGGAGCAGCTTGACGTTATGGTACATAAAAAGTGTCCATCAAGCCAATCCAACTTGTGGGAGGTGCTTCAGGAAGCATGGGGTGAAATCTCTTCGGATTACCTCAACAAATTGACAACTAGAATGCCAAAGGTCTGCAAGGCTGTAATTGCAGAAAAATTGAGGATTCTTTGATGAAAGCAAAGTTTGAAGGACACAATTATTATTTCAATGACTACATTTCCTATTCATTTTGCTATATTTCCTATTCAAACTAATTTCATGTATGTTTTCATGGAAAACAAGGACATTTCTAAGTGACCCCAAACTTTTGAACGGTAGTGTAAATGATCACAAAGTTCCATTCTAACCTTTAACATTACTGTTCTTCTGTGTGAGTTTGAAGCAGCGATGTTCAGCTCTGCATGTTATTGTGTTCAGGGTTTTCCATTGGCTTGAGGGAAGAGTCAGGTTACTGCTGATACTCTGAGTTGTGCTGCTGGCCTGGTTCACTGGGGTCCTGCTGGTTGGGTCTTTTCCATCCAGAAGCCAGGTCACTTTGGCATCATACGCAGAGTGGACCACACATGTAGCTGTTACCTCAGTCTGTGTCATCACTGTCCTGAATCTGGGGGTCTCCAGGTGGATGGATGGAGTAGACGAGGGAAATGCTGTGAGGAAAACAGATGGAGATGTCACAAGACTTGCAGATTTGGATTGTTACTATGTCTTTCGATTGTACACTTGTCTATACCCATCCTCTGGCCCAATACACGGTGCTGTCACTGAAACCCACCTGAACAAATGCTGGTGGTCCTGGAGACTGGTGGTCCTGGAGGTGGTCCTTGTGCTGCATTGTGGTTGGCCTTGCATGTGACGTCTGACCCTTGAGTCCATTGGCTCCGGTCCAGCTCCAGCTGGCTGCTCAGGCTGAAAGTTTTCTCCTCACCTTCTACACTCTGCAGCTTCCGCTGGACTGGAGAGTTGGTCAGAGCCTTGCCATCCAGCAGCCACTCCACACTCAGCTCGTCGGGGTAGAACCCACTCAGGATGCAGAGGAGTCCCACCTTCGATCCTCCCTCCACTTCCTCCCAGAGAGGATGTAGGGTGATTTTTGGAGGAATGACCCTTTGCACTAATACAAGGTGGAAGGAGGAGTACAATTGTAAACCAAAGTCAGATTGTAAACTTTGAATCAAATTCTTCATACCTTTGTTTCTGCAGTTTTAAGTAACCCAATGTATTAAATCCAGGCCTGGGCTCAGTGTAATGAATTGTAACATATTCTAGATGGAGCTATGGACCTATTAAGTAGCTTGGTGGCTGGGCCCTGAGAGCTGGTAGTGGTAGTGGTCAGATGTGGAGTTGGAGGGTTGTGAAACGCAGGTGTTAGAGCAGAACAGGCCTCAGCGAACAGGGAATGCAGCAGGCAGAAGCGTGGGGAAACACCCTGGTCCCAAAAAAAGCATCCAAAAAAACAGAAGTGAATAATGGTGCTGAGCAACCGTGTGTATCAGAAGCCAGGTGTGAGGTCTGGTTCTGCTTAAGGAAATCGGTTACCTTTTGCATGTTTCCGAGCTATTTACATAAGAGTTCTCTTCTCTACTTCTATTATGTAACTTCTTACCACTTGGTGTTACATTTTTGTTTCTTGACAACCCAT